CCTGCCAGAAAAGAGGATACATCTTAAAATGGATCTTTAATGAGGTCAAAACCGGGTGGAACAATACCAAAGGCATAAGGCAAGCGAAGACATTCATAGAAGGGCCTTCCGCAAAACTTACAAATGAATTACTGGAAGGCAACCGAACCATGATTTTGGTAATCCTCCTGGCAAGGCACTGCCACCTAAAAAATCACATGAACCGGATAAAAGTACAGACAGAAGAAATACTGTGCAGATATTGCCAGGAAGAGGAGACCGCAGAAGACATTTTATAGAAATGATGAATTGTATAAAGACAAGGTAGATAACTTGGCAAAAAGCGGGGTTTACCAACATAATTTAAATGATTGCGACATTAAATATATAAGACAAAGCGGTAGAAAAATAAAAACGAGAGTAAAAGAACACTTGCCTAAATCGAACACATTTTCGGATTTAAAGACCAACTAAAAGAAACAAAACACAATTTCAATTTAAATTTGCATACAACAGTGTCACATAGTTTCAACAAAGTGAGTAAATTAGATTGGTTTGAAAAATTTGTTATTAAAAAAATGTAAAATTGAACATGGAGATAAATGCATTAATAATATAAGAGATTTTGCTCTACCTCCTATATTAAATTTGTACATAAACCATATTAGACATACAAAATAAGGAAATTAATTATTTTAATTTTTATTAATTTTATCATTAATTTACTAAACCATTATTAAGATATCATTTTAATTTTTATCTTTTTTTAATTGATAAAAAAACATAAAAACCAAAAGTAAAATAAAATAAATAAATAAGCAAATAAACAACTAAAAAATCAATAAATACATATATAAAATAGTATATATTAAAAACAATAATCACATTTATAATTAATTTCTTATAATATTTATTAATATATTATTTACTTGTATTATAATTCCCGCTTTTCACATGTTCAAAATGGAGCTGCATTAAAAACCAGCGTCTCGTTGGAACATCGCAATATTGGCGGGTGATCAGCGGGTTCACTTTTGTAATTCATGTCGAGAGACGTGGTTGTAGAAATCCTGCAAGCTGATGATGAGCTATAAGCTCGAAATCCGGATCGTTGAAAACAACTTACTCTGAGTAGGAACTGTCTTTTTACAAAGATTAAAGGAAGACATTTTATGTTTATATGAAGGCCTACGTATGTGCAGGTTTTTGCAACTAGGACGGGAAAAATCACAAGCAAGATCCTAGACTAAAGAGCCACTGAAAAAGTTATGGAGGTTGATTATCAACCTGAAACTGGCCAGTGAGTTATAAAAAACAGAGGAGCACAATAGATCTACTCAGGTCAAGGTGCAGAAAGCCTTGTGGTCGCCTGTTTTTATCCCTACCCATATATTGGCTATAACAGTACCGAAGTCAGACATAAAAAGATCGCTATATGTCTCCCTACATAATCTTTTTAGGTTGGTAACTGACATATTCCAGTACAGAAGAAATTTTCCCCCTAGGAGGACAAAAGAATATGAGTTAGGGCCTAGACCATGACTATAAAGAGGCTCTTACTAATCACGTGCTGAGCGGAAAATATCTCAACAAATAGGGAAATCAGATTTACATGTATACCAAGAATGATGGAAAGACATGTTGTCGGAAAGCTAAAACCTCAGTTAGTAGATGAAGATGGACTATTAATGGCTTATAGAATTTTTCTTTCATTGTAGAAGGTTTCATTTATTGATGGGGAAATGCAAGCAATTAAAAAAACCTTAATCATAACTTTCAATTAATCAATGTTTTTAGTTGAGATAAAAAAGTCAGTGTCACGAGCGGAATTCGAACCCACGTTCTTCGGCTAGATACACCGCTGCTCTACCACTTGAGCTATCGTGACCTCGATCCACTCAGACACTAACTTCCCATCTCAACCCCACCTTTTGAATTGTCCTTCTTTTTTGTCATTTTTCAAGTCAAAATTGACCTGCTATTAAGCTTTATGATTAAATTACAAAAGAACTAAAAAAAGGACGAATCTAACTCATGAAAACTGTAAAAAAATGCATGAGGAAAAACTATTGTACAGTTTTCAAACACGTTTTCCCTATATGTGTCTTCTTACATGTACGTATTTTTATTTTGTATTTTTATATTTTTGTACGTATTTTTAATGTAATTTATAAAATAATAATTTGCAACAGCATCTGACGTGTAACATAAATTGTTCAAAAAAATAAAAAACAAATCACTCCATCAATCAATGCGGTATCGATGATGGTTTCCTGTATGTCGTATTGGAAGGTAAAAGGTACAAAGTAGACCTATCTTTGTTACACACATACAACTTCATTGGAGTCTGCCCAGTTTTCCAATCTTATAGACTACAATGGTTTAAATGAAGTTCTATCTTGACAGAAGTGACAGAAAACCTAAAATACAAGGGGTAAAGAGAAATAGTACAACAATACACGTATTTTGGAAGAATTTTTAACCCCATGGCTAATTCAGAAGAAACATTTTCAGTAAAAAAACAACGAAAAGTAAATTTGATTCTAGGTCTACATGGCTACAGCTAATGGAAAATGAAATCATACCTTTGTCAGCAAAATAAAGCATATGTGATGCAGCTGTACGAACCGTTATGTGATATCTAGCACACACTTATGGATACAAAGACTATGCAGAAATTGAAAAATCCAAAAATATTTCTTAAAAAAACTTTTTCATCTCCCCAAAAATTGCCCATATTATATAGTATATCTAGAAACAGGAAAATATCCTATTTTTCACTGTCACTCAGCCTCAGAGCTCAAACGCCACTTAACGAAATATAACAAAATCCAGCAAAACATATTTTGGTTCAAGAAGTTATCCCTTTATTTTCAAATAAATCTAAGTGCAAAAGATATATATTTGAAAAAATATGTAGCATTTGATACTTTCCTTGAAACATTAAAATCATTAAGCGAGCCCAGGCAAAATTTTATAACATGTACCAATTATTAACGAAAGGGCGAGAGGAACTAAATTATTATTAACGATACAAACAAAAAATCTCATATGTCATTAATATTACTTTTAGGCCTAAATTATGCAGTTAATATCCAGAGGAATAGAAAAACTGAGCCCTTTGTAAATTATTCCAAATTGAGGCAACATACAACTTCATTGGAGTCTGCCCAGTTTTCCAATCTTAAGACTACAATGGTTTCACGATTAAAGCATACAAAATTGTATTAAACCATATAAGTATTTAGCAGTCATGATTGTATTAATTATTTTAATTAATTATACTTTTTATCTATGGTCTTGTTTGCCGAAGGTCGTGGTTCGAATCCCGCTGGTGATATTTGCTTTTTGAACTCAACGAAGACTTTAGATTAAAGTTTAAAAAATTGCTAACATTAAAATTGTTTTGTGATTATGCACAGTTATATATTTACATTGTGGTGATCAATTTTATATTGGGTGTTTTAGCTTAGTCCACCCATTTAATTCGGAAACGAAAAAAAACAACTTTAGCAAAAATGGTCATACAACGGTTATACAAACCCCAAGTTAAGTTTGGCTAGGAATCGCGTGGCTAGGAATCGTAATAGATTGAACATAAATGTCTCATCTAGCTTTGAAATGTCACTAACTTTGTTATTTTGAACGAGACTTCCATATTTTTGTTGTACAATTCGATTCTAGAGCTCATTTTATGCCTCTTTTGCTGAAAGGAAAATTTCGATAGGATCGATCATTTCTCAGGTATGCCCGACGGAAGACGCGTGAGGGGGCATGCTTTGGTTTTATAAAAACCCCAGGAATTTGAATTTGAAAAAGGCAGACGGATACAAACCATGCCCCATGCTTTGTGTACCTGTGGTTCAATGCATTACTATATACTTCATAACTAATAAAATGCATTAAATAAATAATAAATCATAAAACTTTTACTTAACAGAAAAAAGAAAAAGTGAGTACTTTTATAGAAAAGAAGAAGATAAAATAATCTATAACGTTGTCGTTAATATCAGGAAGTACCTAATTGATACAGTGCACTTTTAAACGTTGTTAATGCCGGGGCGGGTGCCCCTTGTTGTGGAAGCGATAGGTGGGTAAGTTGTTAGGGAAAATTAAATCTCTAGTGCGAAAGTAACAAGGGGTGAATGAGAAGGGTGAAGACGGTAGTTAGGGCAAAGAGGGGCGAAAGAGTAAATGACTCATCTCAGCTGCTCTAATATGTTGCGAGGTTCTTTTGACGGCTTTGCCCAAAACATCGATTTTTCTATCCCGGGTTTAACATGTGGCGTGGAATTATAAAATCATAAACGGTAATTGTTAAAGGGGGGAGGGGTTTTCGGTGACGATGAGGGAGTGGAAACCGAGTAACCGGCCATAAACCAATGAAGCAACATGCCAATTTTTATCATTAGCGAAACTGTTGTTTTTAAAGGTACGGCTTGTTTAAAAGTTTTCTTCTGATGGAGGATGAAATTCTTTTGGTTTTATAAAAGTAAAATTTTTTTTGTAGATATAAAGGTCAAAATATGGAAATCGTGTGAGGGTCTTAAAATGAAAAAGATGGAATAATATAAAACGATATGTGCAATTGAGCCAAGAGAGGTGTATTTAGGGAAGGAAAGCGAGTGGTTGCTGGTAAGGAAATTATGGGTAGCCGAGGGCGTGCGGTAACTAGGATAGACCGCTAGCGGCTGGGGTTGTAATTAACTATTAGCGGGAGGCGGTGGAGGCGAGGAGACGGGAGACTTGGAGGCGGCTGGGCCGGGGGCGGCAGGGAGGGGGCGCCTGCGTCTCCAGCAGCTTTCTTTCCTTGGCCCTCGTCTTTTCTCGGCTTCTTTCGATGGATTGTTGGGGGCGGTGGGGGTCGTCTTGTGGCAGGGGCACAACATGTTGCGGGGCCCCGCCCCCACTCGCCCCACCACCGCGGTAAAAACCAAACCACCGCACCCACCCCCACCACCGCCTCCGCCCACACCAAACGACAAACCGTTTTTTCCCCTCAGTTCTTTGGCCATGTGACACGCGTGTGGATATGCGCCTCGACATGAACTCTGAGGGCTACATAACCGCCGAGCTCCTCGCGGAAAGCACCATCGAAAGCCTTCTGTCCGAACACCCCGGTGAACTCGTGAGGACCGGCAGCCCGCACGTCGTCTGCACCGTCCTCCCGTCACACTGGAGGTCCAACAAGACGCTGCCCGTCGGGTTCAAAGTCGTCGCCCTGGGCGAGGTGATGGACGGGACGGTCGTCACGGTCAGGGCCGGAAACGACGAAAACTACTGTGCCGAACTCAGGAATTGCACTGCCGTCATGAAGAACCAGGTCGCCAAATTCAACGACCTCCGGTTCGTCGGAAGGAGCGGAAGAGGTGAGTCGACAAACTTTCCTCCCTCTCTTCACTAACACAGAAGGGAACTAAACCCGCCAACGGTAGCGTCTTACATGCACTAGTCGTGCCCTATACCCAAACACTAAACGATCTCCACCTTGCTCACCTACAAGTCTTAACCTGAAAACACCAGCCCCAAATTCTTGTATATCTGCAAAAGTTTAAATCATCCTTATGTATATTGTGTAGTATTTAGTGACCGTTAATTAATGATTATTTGGAGATCGTGAGATGCGGTCTTGTGTGATATTTAGAAAAAAATGTCTTTATTGTGCCAACGTTTCGATCTTCATTCTTCTTCTGTGTAGATATCTCCCGGTTGTGTGCATGTGACTAACACACAACCGTGACACAAAAACACAGATAACACACACTTTGATCCCTGAAGATGATCTAAATAAAGATCGAAACGTTGGCACAATAAGAAAATGTTTTTCTAAACCTACATCACACAAGGCCGCATCTCACGATCTCCAAATAATCGTATGTATGTTCGAAAAAATCCATACTGTGCATTGCTATATCAATCAAGATGATGAATGAATAGCTCCAAATACAGGCTAAGGGGAATTTGGGTGTTACCTGAAACTCATGTTTGTTCTGAAAAGCCTGGCGTGGACATGATGAATTTTCTATTCGTTTATCAATACCCATATAGTCATTAACACCATGCATTGTGCTTTGTGTTGATAGTCTAAGATAGTCATGTCAGCCGGACGCAACTCCTGAAAAGGACACAGGAACAAAATTTTGAGGAACCATCAATCAACTCATACATTTTCAATACGTCGATTATGTTTTTTCCGTTTGTACATAATCGAAAAACATATTTTTTAATTATTATTCTCGTTCTCGAATATTTGACTCCTGCCGAAGGAAGAAATAACTGAGGTCATCTGACGAACAAATCAGGCGGTTCCTTCAAATCTTATTCCCAAAACCACTCATATTTCTTATGAACTTCAATTGTTAGACCCATTACAAGTAATTGTGCCTTCCTAAATAGAAAAAATATTTTATTTATTGAAATATTACAAAAAAATTGATGATAGTTTTACTTCAAGTTATCTTATTGAAAAAAATTTCGTGAAATAGATGCATAAATCTTTTCAAAACTATAGAAATAAAAATTGAAACTTACACAAACTGATCTAATAAGATTTATTGGATTTCAGCTTTAAAAGTTTAAGTAGTTCTAATAATCTACTTATCAATTCTTATCAGAAATGGACGGATTTAGTCTATTTTTTAAAATATTATGGCCAACAAGTTTTTATAAGTTTTTACTTCTTATCGACGATGTTTTGATTGAAAAGAAAAAATGTTAAAATGCTAACAAAATAATGAATGAACAATCTCTGAGCAAGTTGGTTACACGTGAAACTTTTAAAATTTAAATATATTATATCCAAAGTAATTTCGTATTAATGGGTACTTCAATTTGTGCATTTTTGTTCATTTAAACTATCAAAAAACTAAAAACTAATCTCTCACATAATTGTCAGCAATTATTCTTGAAATTTAAGTTCGGTAATTATTTAGTTTTGCTAATTTATTATTCATTATACACTTGAACACGTTTTCTTTAAATTTGAAAAAGATATATAAAATTATATTTGAAATAACCACAACTCGAACCGTCCGTTTTTTAAAATTAATTAATTTTTTAAATATATTTCGAAAGGATATTTGTATTGTATAATTATTGAATTAGTTATATTTGTTGAAATTGTTTTGATACTGCCGTTTATGATTCACCATAATGACCATCATAAATGATAAAACGAGAAACTGATACGGTGGCGGCGGAAAAAAAAAGAACTTTTTGATTCGATATTAAAACTGTCCGAATTACAGTCTTCCTGTAGGTGATTTTAAATGCCAAAACTTCCCACTATGACGTTAAAATTCTTTATTATTTTTAATCAGAAAATGATGTTTTTTTGTTTTTTAAAAAGGTGCAGAAAGAGGAGAAAAGGTAAAGTTTCACGTTTTTGATACGTTTTAAATACAGTCGTGAAGAATCTTCCGTTTTTCATCCAATTAATAAAATTCATTAAAAAACTCGTTTTTAACGGATTAAAAAATTTCAATTTTGCAAATGTCAATTTACGGTGGATCGGTGCAAACGCAGATTGTATACGTTGCACGCATAAATCTCGTCGAACCGCAAACATTTCCCCGCAAACCGCAACCGTTGTCAGCTTTGGAAACCAAAAACAGGCCTGTTTTAACTTCCGCAGAGTTTCCTTACGGTTGCACACTTCAATAAAAGGAATTTCGCGTGTAATTTCACTATTGAAGACGTCAATGTCATACATTTTTCGCGTTGTCCAAGAATTAATTTTTCTGTAGGGCGACGAAGAAAAATAAAATTACTGTGTTAAAGTGTTTTACAAGCTTAATTTAGAAAATGTAATTTACAAGAAACACCGTCTTAAAGTACAAAAAGCAACTCAAATTTCCCCAAATATCACTAATGTTTACATAGCTTATGGCAAATCAATCGTTTGTACTCACTCACTTTTACATTAATAATGTTAACGTATATAATGATTATAATATATTTGATTTTATTTATCGTATAAAAAGCCCATATTCTTGAGCATTCAAAATTACCAAAGTTTTTGTCATAGGTTTTTTCACAACTTTAACATTATGGTGAAAGATTGAAGCTTATAAACGAAATATATATATATAAAATAAATTAAATAATTTAAAATAACAGTTAACAAATTTCCTTAATAAGTGTTTTTTTAAATAAATTTTTGTAAATTTATAAAATTATAAATTGTAAATAAAAAATGGGAAGGAACTTAGCCGTGAAGAAAATGAAGCGGTGCTTCAAATATTCAAGTTTCGTCGTTTTAAGCAAATTTTGAAAATCTACTTGACGAAATTTTAGTCGGAGCAATAGTCTTCTAATACAATCACTTTTGCGGATAGAACAGTATTAATAAACGGAGCATGGTTTTTAGATTATTTGAGTTTTTATGTATTTTCTATCTGTGCGCACTATACTTCCAACTAGATCCAAATCTCAACTGTATATTTTACCTTTTAGAGATGTGATAGTAGCTCTTCCATTATCAAGTCCAATGCTAATTCCTCTGCTTTACTGCTTTCACTTGTCAGCTTTCAATACTGATTATAGCAGGTCTTTTACATCAGGTGATGCAAGTTCTGTTACAACAGATCATGAGGTTGTAACATATAATCATGGATCAAAAGGTGTCAGCTTCGCTAAAAAGTTTGGTATGTTATTTCAAAATAGAGTTCGAAATTGATAGTTTACCAATACGGCAAAATGCCTTGGTTATCACATTCCTCCTATTCTTCGTCGTGTGGTATAGCAGACAAATTTGGGCATTTCTCAGTTTTCAATGGTTAGTCGAGGGCGATTAAATACAAATCATTCTATCCATTCAACACAATTTCTTACAAAAAAGCTAAAATAATTGGTCTTAATCTATTTTTACACTACATTAAGCTCAAAAAAATTGTCAAAATAGTTGTGTAAACAGAAATCCTAATACATAGTTGATAATGATGGTTCTACTGAAAAACAGGTTTTGCAATAATTCGAATTGGAAGCATTAAATGCTCATCAAAACCAAGTACGTAATCTACAAGTATGTTATCCACGTGGATAAAACAATTGTATACGTATGTACTATATGTATTATTTGCATGTCTGATGATAAGCATTTAATATTGGCAATCCGGATCACTGCAAAACCAGTTTGTGAGAAGAACCATCATTTTCAACTATTTGATTGACGAGATGGTGAAATTATTCTGTAAAAATTACTGTTTTGAACTTACTATCGATAGGTCTCATTTAAATAAAAGTAAAGAAAAGGAATTTTTTTGTCAAGTTACCTAGTTAATACTGATCAGTGTACAAATTCTTGTACAGAAGATTAGATCAAAATATTCATAAAACAAACTTTTTGCCCAGCTACGTTTTTGTCTGTATACTCGATGTCATTTTTATATTTTTTAAAGGTTTTACTTTATAATTATGAATTTATGCTGTCTATATACTTTTTACTTATTGCACTATACAACTGCGTAATTACAATATTTATCACAACAGATTATAATGTTTTTGTAAGAAAAATGTAAGGAGCTGCTCTCGCAAAATAGTTCATAGTTCAAACTTCATGCTCATCGTTAGCACACTATAAACCCTGTTATGTGTGTTATGGTTTTGCAAAGTGAAATGTATATTTGTATATTACAATAATACTAATACCTGTAGCATTAACTTCAACATATGATAAGTATACTACATAATGATAAGTATAAGCATAATCACTGCATGTATATTTTTTCGGTAATTCATTTTAAAAATGGAAGAAAATATTGGCATACGAGTGATCAAATAATTTACGATGCATTTAACATGTCCAAGGTTAAATATTTTGAAATAATTTGTGCTAGAACACAACATGAGTTTAAAAGCACTTTCATTTATCTTTTATTTTCAGATGTTATGTTGAGTGTTTTTGATTTATAAAAACAACATTTGCTAATTTTTAAATTAAAAGCGTTTTCGACGTCTTTCTGGCTTTTTCAGAACTGTAACAATTGTTTAAATGCTAATATTATCCTTACTACATTAATTTAATAAAATATATTGAAAGTAATACATAATCTTAGGTTCATAAGTTCATAAGTTCACTATAAACTGTCATAAAAACACACAAAAAAACCACTTTTTTTATGACGAAACGTATATATTAAATTTAAATAATTATTGATTATTGATTTATATAAACTCAAATCTGCACATTTATGTACATTCACAGGCGTACAGAGGGTCGATGGGGACATAGACCCTATCACATTATGCATTCACGCTAATAAATAAATTTATTCTAAATACAAATATACATCCTCGTACACAAACACAGCTGCCATGCTCAAGCACGATTCTCATATCGGGTGAAGTTTAAATAGGTAGTAGATAGCTT